TCTGCAATAATCTTGCTTACTTGCCTACCTTTTTATGTGACCTATGTTTGAACTGTAGATTTATTTTCAATATTTATTCAATAAGCCTAGTCAAGAGTAGCATTCCACAAGAACTCTACATAAATAGGGGCAAGGCTGAATGTGGCATCAGAAGTCTGAATTCAAGGACCAATTTGGCCATTAAGTGGCAGGACTAGGGCACAGCTCTTCACCTCTGTGAGTTTGTTTCTCCATTTGTAAATGACTTGCCATCCTAGAGTGGTGTTGGGGACTAAATGAGATGATTGATGTGGAGACATCTTTATACAGTAATTGTGAGGCTGTTTTTATTTTTATTTATTTATTTATTTATTGCATTTCACTTTATTTTTTTTATTAATTTTTTATTTTTTTATTTTTTTTATTGGTTGTTCACAACTTTACAAAGCTCTTGACATATCATATTTCATACATTAGATTGAAGTGGGTTATGAACTCCCAATTTTACCCCAAATGCAGATTGCAGAATCACGTCGGTTACACATCCACAGTTTTACATAAGGCCCAATTAGTAATTGTTGTATTCTGCTACCTTTCCTATCCCCTACTATCCCCCTCCCCTCCCCTCCCATCTTCTCTCTCTACCCCATCTACTGTAATTCATTACTCTCCTTGTTTATTTTCCCATTCTCCTCCCAACCTCTTATATGTAATTTTGTATAGCAATGAAGGTCTCCCTTCATTTCCATGCAATTTCCCTTTTCTCTCCCTTTCCCTCCCATCTCATGACTCTGTTTAATGTTAGTCTTTTCTTCCTGCTCTTCCTCCTTGCTCTGTTCATAGTTGCTCTCATTATATCAAAGAAGACATTTGGTATTTGTTTTTTAGGGATTGACTAGCTTCACTAAGCATAATCTGCTCTAGTGCCATCCATTTCCCTGCAAATTCTATGATTTTGTCATTTTTTATTGCTGCATAGTACTCCATTGTGTATAGATGCCACATTTTTTTTATCCATTCATCTATTGAAGGGCATCTGGGTTGGTTCCACAGTCTAGCTATTGTGAATTGTGCTGCTATTAACATCGATATGGCAGCATCCCTGTAGCATGCTCTTTTAAGGTCTTCAGGGAATAGTCCGAGAAGGGCAATAGCAGGGTCAAATGGTGGTTCCATTCCCAGCTTTCCCAGGAATCTCCAAACTGCTTTCCAAATTGGCCGCACCAATTTGCAGTCCCACCAGCAATGTACAAGAGTACCCTTTTCTTCACATTGTGAGGCTGTTTTTAAATACCAGTTTTTATTAGTCTTCTATAGGGAGTTTTCACCTTTGTGAATTATTCCTTTAAGAAGAAATCACAAATAATGAGAATATAATATTGAAGGCAAATGATTTATTTGAGTTATCTTCATATTGTTCAGTTTGTATAAGTGGTTGGAAACTGCAGGGATGCAGTGTCTAGATGGGGAAAGAAGAACTTTTCAGTGGTTCCTATGGTTCATTGATGGGCACTCTGTCTTGGGAGGTCGTCAGTTCCCCATCATAGGCAGTGTGCAAGCATAGGGCCCACTAACCTGCCTGCCAGAGGCTGATGAGAAAGTTTTGACTGGGACCAAGGAGGAAATGAGAGCTGCACCAGCCTGCTTCTGGGGTTGTTCTCATATTGAACATTTGTATTTCTAAAATTTACATACAAACATACTGAGAGATGGACCAAAGTTTTTTTATTCTCTTCAGGAGATAAGGTATAAAGGTTGATTTCTTCTTAAACTTTTTAAAATGAAAGCTGTAGATTCAATATGAGATCACAGTAAAAAGCCTGACATTTCTACTTTGTGAATCAGTGCTAAAGCTGAGATTTGATTTTGAAATATGAAAGTAAACTGTAACTGCCTCAATTTAAGTCTCTAGGATTTATATTTATATATAACCTTTAAAATTCTTCCAACTTTTCACCCTGGAGGGGAAAAAAGAGAAATTATAGTCATCTTACTTACAGCTAGAATTCTAGAGAGACACTCGTTTTAGGTTAATGGAAAACTGACATTGCTTTTGCCTGAGCTTCCAGCAGTTTCCACCCGCCTCTGACTGATGTGAGCTCTCACACCCAGGGACATAGTTGTAAGTCTCATGTGTTAAATTGAGTACTTTTGTGATCCAAACTCAATTGCAAATCACTTTAAAATACATTTCTTCGTGGTATTTTAAAAACACTATTTGTTTTTAAACACTGTCCTTTCACAGTCCAAAGCTGCTTCTTAATGTTATTATTGCTCATGGAAAACCCATTTCAATCTCAGAAAATGACTTTTCAGTGTTTTCTATTTGTGCTGTTGCCACTCAAGCTGGCATGTCAACCTACCCACCCACTCGCTGCCCCCAAGAAGACACATGTGGAGTTGAATTCAAAGCATATGATGTCAATGTTAGAAGGGTCAAAACTCTGCATCCCACCCCTTTATTAAGGTTGAAGAAACTGAGGTATGGGAAGGGGTTACAAAGCATGTAGTAGCAAAATTAAGAATTCAAATTAGAATACAAGCCTTTGGTCCTTGCCTCATGCAGGACATGAACTGGAGTGGGGTCCCTGAAAGGTTGAAAAGAGGTGATATAACTCTGTGGTGACTGCCAACTGGTCCAGTGGAAAGGCACTTCCTTTCAAGTGGCTTGGTAAGGTAACTGGCATCATCCTGCAATCAAGTCACTGCCCTCACCGCCACAGAGGGCCAAGGACTGCTGAAGTGTACATTGAACAGGCCAGGTGACCTCTTATCCCTGAGCAGGTAGATACTAAGACATCAGCCTGAGAACAGCACCCCCGATGGAAGGAGAGAGAGCGGGTTAAAGGTGGCCGTGTTGGAAAAGGGCCACGGGAGCACCAGAGTCAATGAGGCTGATGTGCTGCATTGGAGATTGGGGCAACTGAGGCACAAATGGGGGACATTGCCTCCAGATGCTCCTCAAATCCCTCTAAAGGCATTCTAATGTGGAGACCCAGGGCTTGGAACTCCAAGGCAGAAGAGGCTGCCTTGTTTTTCCTTTTCCTTGTGCTGTCTTTCAGGTCAGGTGTGGGTGTGACTGGCCTCTCTACAAAAGGTGAGACACTTGCCTACCTCCTCTAGGAGTGACGGGAATTTAACGGGACCTCAGGCCTGGGAGGGCCTTGTAACTCTAAAGCCTATAGAGATACTGTTCATCATTTTTTCTTGGTTATAGTTAGGAATTAAAAGAGTCTAAATATTATGGAGTAAATTTAACATGAATCCACTCATTCACTGGACATTTACTGAGCACTTCCTAAATGCCCTCACATCATGCAGTCCCTGGGTGAACACACTGACTCCCTATGAAGAGCACCAGTCCATGGCACGGAGAAAAATATAACACGAACAAGAGACTTACTATGGTGGAAAGAAATAGAGGGGAGCCTGTAGACTCAGAGGAAGAACACAAAGCGAACTGGATAGCTGGGGGAGGCCTCAGGAAAAGTCTGTTGGAAGAGATGATTCCTATCGTAGGAGACAGATGGTGTGGGGTAGGAGGTCAGGCGTGAATGTTCCAGGGAAAAGGAGCTACATGAACATCGATGTTGGGTAGGTGAAGGAAGGTTGGACAAGAACTGGGAAGCCCCTATAAATATTGAGAACATAACAGACACATTTATGAAGATAAAAATTGTGAGAGTTGTGTGCCATGGTAGGCCAAATCCAGGCCTGGTGATGAGTAAGTGCTTCGAATGTCTGCTCTCTCTAGCCTCTCCTATGTCACACCTGGCTCGCATGCCACCCGTGAAACACCTTTCATCTTGAAAGGCCGGGCAATTGTTGCTGACTCTCTGTATGACCTTAAGAAGTCCCATTCCTTCAGTTTTCCCTTTCCATGAAATGTGGGGGTTTTATTAGCTGGATAGGATGGATTGGAAAAGGAAAACTAGGAACAAATGTGAAAGTCCAGGGGCTGCTGAAATGAGCAGGGAAGAGATGATGAGGTTTAGCTTAACTTCCAGTCCCGGCACTGGCCACTCCCCACTCATTGATCAATCATTCAATTCCCAAAGCTCTAAACACACCACACTGGGGACCAAGCCTTCCACACATGCATCTTTGAGGGATGCTTCATATCCATACCATAACATGTGGCTTCTCTTAGGATGTAACTTTTGAGCTGAAATGTGAGGCACTAATAGGAATTAACCAGGCACAGGGACAGCTGTCCTTCCTTCAAGTTCTGTGCATTCAACAGTGTGCCTATGGATCCGTGGGTCAGATGAGGTGGGTCTGGAGTCTAGCAGAGGCTCTGCATAATAAAGGAGGAGAGCCAAAAACAGAAGGAGGGGGAGACATGAGAGAATTGCAGGGATAGGGATGGAGGGGACTGAGAACCCTCCTGCAGCAGGAGGTTGGAGAAGAGGTGGAGGAGATCTCTGAGGAATCCTAAGGGGCTGCTGAGGAATGTTTAAAATAGGATGGTCCATGTTCAATTTTAGATTGTGCTTCTGTGGTCTATGGTCCTTCCCCACCTGAACCTTCAGTATAAACTATTGTCCACAAATGACTTGCTTGAATGGTTTTGGGGGAAATCAGGGAAAAGCTAAGTTCTCAGGGTTAGTGAGGAACAGCGATCAGATATCTGAGAAGAAACCTCATGTCTCATGAGAGATCCAAAGGTTGGGAGCCAAAATTTGGAGGCAGTAATAACAAGAGGTAGTCACAGACTCGGATATATCTGCACCTCGGAGACACAGGATTGTAATTTGTGTCTGGCATGATCAGAGATTGGTGTGCAGTGATGATCAAATGCAGCACTGAAGCGCATCAGAGGAGAGTGGCGCAGCCCCTGCATGGTGGGGAAGGTGGGTTCTTTCACCTGGATCCTGTCAGTGGCAGGGGCAGCAATCTCATTCTCGCCATCTGACACTCGGTTGTTTGGGTTCTACTTTAAGTAGATGCCTCCCAACCTGTTGACTCCCCAAGTCTCTGCCTAGCCAGTGACAGCACAAAACCCACCAGACCTTGGAGGATTTATTAGGTCCATAAGCATTTATTGGCACCTGCTATTCTGGGTACAAAGTCACTTGGCATAGCCATTGGCCCCTATCCTTGGAGTGCACCATCAAGGAGGGAGACATCACCAATCAGTGTGACCAGTGCCCAGATAGAAGCAGGTCCAGGGGTTGTGACAGTATGAGGACAATCTTGACTGGGGAGTTGGGGCAGTTTCCTGGAGAAGGGGCACTTAAGCAAGTCAGGTATTTTCCAGGCTAGTTAGGCAAAGGGAGAGGTTCAGAGGCTCACGGATGGTGGCTTCTGGGCTGTGTGCTGCCCCTGAGGGCTACCTCGAGGTACACAGCAGCGTCTCTTGATTCTCCATCTTTCAATACATCGCCTCCCTCCAACTGGACTTTAAGTTCCTTGAAGCAGCCATGGAAACTGTGCAGGGTTAGGTTTGAGTGTAGGAGTAAGATGAATTGTGATAATGCCAAGACGAGTCCATTCTCCAAGAGCTCCCTGCTCCAGAGCCATCTGTCATCATGTTTAAATTCCACCCTCACCCCTCACTCCTTTGGATCTGACGGCCACAACTGTGGAGCCACCAATGGAAATATAAAGCCCTTCTCAGTAGACTCAGGTTTCAAATGGATTACCAGGGGTTGAGAATAGACAGAGACATAGGGGCTCTAGACGGGGAAAAGAAAAAGGTATGGTGAAGGGACACTTGACTTTTTGCAAATTCGTTGCTAGTACTCCACTTGTATTTTCCTTTTCTAACCTCAAGACTCACAGAAGATTCCTGAGTAGACTCAACAAGAGGGGGAAATGGTGATTTTGAGGTAGGAATGAGACAGTGTAATGGAAAGAGAGCAAGAGTCCAGAAACACACTGAATCCTGCTATCTGGCCCTGGGCAAACCTAGTGTTCTCTCTGGGCCTCCGTTTCCCCACTTGCCAAGCGAAGTTGGATTAGATGCTCTTCAGGGGTTCCTGTGGCTTCAGCTTTTGACAGCAGGTGAGAGGAGAGCCTGTCTCTGTGTTGAATCTGTCTTGGCCAAAGCCAGGTCTGTGAAGTTATGCAAAATAACCCCAGAGGAAGATGTTGATGGACAGTAGGAGGATGGCGTTGATGTTGCAGACGCTTCTCCACAATGGCTCCTCCTCGATGCTGGTCAGTTTCTGCTCTAGAGCAGCCTTCTCTGCTGGGCTCAGAGCTTGCTCAGGGACCCTGGAGAGCCCACAGAACCAGCCCCAGAGCAGCTTTCCCCAGGACCTGTGTGGGGCTGGGAGGAGAAGGCCAGAGGGGAAGGGGAGCAGGGTGGAGGGAGGCAAGCAAATGATGAGAGTGGGGGTGGGAGATGGTGAAGGAGTGGGTGGGTGCCCTGAAAGTGGGGAGGGGCCCTTTGTGCAAACCACAGGCTACGCTGAGTTGGGATCTCAGCTGAGCTCTGGCCTTGGCCACAACATCCATTCATGATGCTGAAGCATCTTTTTTGCAGGGGGGTGGTGTGTTAAGGTGGGGGAACAACATAGTTCACCCCGAATCAGAGTGTGAGTCCAGAATGAGGTCAGAGAACATAATCTTCTAAAGGAAGGAGGAAGCATTTGAGCCAGCCAGACTGCCGCCCCTGCTGTGAGGACAGACAGGCACAGGCACTGCATGGGAGGCCAGGAACTCTTGGCTCCAGGGCCAGCTCAGCCTCAGCAGATTGTGAGGCCTATGTAATCCACTCCATTCCTCTAAGCTGCTGGTACTTTCTCCCCCAAATGCATCAGTGACATATGCCCCGTTCTTGTAAGAGTATTTTTGGGTATGGAATGAAAATGGAGATTTGGCAGCACTTTAAAAAGGTACCAGAGCTGGTTAGGGAGAAGAGGCTCTGGGGAATATAATGTTGGAAATGCACAAGGCCCCCCTCCAGTGTGCAGAGGGCCCACTCAGAGACTAAAACTAGCACAGTTTATTAAAAAAAAAACACACCTAAGTTTAAAAGAAACAAAGAAAGTAAATCTTTTGAACGTATACCATATAAAAGTAATATAAAAAGGCTTTCATGGAGATGGCAAAGAACACTGGGAATGAGCACTTCATTATCCAATGGCTTTGGGATGGGGTACTTGGAGAGTTTATTGTAACCACAGAGTGTCAGAGACACCAGGGGCCTGGGTGCCATCTGGCCTGTCTCCTTCATTGTATAAAGGTGAAAAAGTGCTCAGGAAAGGGACGAGACCTGATTAAGGTCACACAGCTGCAGAGCTACACTAAGAACAAGATGAATTCAACATTTTGTTGGTGCTGGGCTTTTTACCAGCTGGCCCATATTCTCTCTCCTTTGATTTTCTCTGTGGTCCCTGAGTTAGATGAAACACAGGGTTTCGTGTGTGAATGCACAGACCCAAAAAGTCCACTTCATCTAAGTAGTTACTAAACAGTGTGCAAAAACCAACCTGGGATGTATATACTTCTTTTAGATCTACTCACTGCCCTTTAAATTTCTATTTTTGACTCAAAATGAAGCTGCCTGGCCTACATCGGCCTTTCTGCAGGGGCTGCTTCCTCCTGGTTACTGATGTTTGTGTCTCTCCCAGGGAGGAGACTGCACACCTTGCACAGCGGCAGGACCTTCCCTGCCCTTTCTCTTCTCCCCAGTGGCCCGTGGGGAGGTGCATGGGTTTCTCTCCTTGGATGTTGTGGCTGACTCAGAGCCTTCTCTTCCTCCTGTGGGAGTGGCCATCCACAGGGCATAGGCATTCATTCCTGTCTGCTCTCCAGAGATGCTCTGCCCTGGGCCTGGAGGCCATCCAGGGAGTGCGAGGGTCTGGTCTGCCTGGTCTGGGTTTTAGCTGCAGGCAGTACAGGCTGCCTCCTCCTCGCTCTCTCTGGGAGATGTTTTATGGCTTCTGGGCCTTCCCTTCTCCTCCTCCTCCTGGGAGCTGCCGCACTTATGCAGGGCTCCTCCTTGCAAGAGGGTCTTCCCATAACAGAAGCTTTTTAGGGGAGAGGACCTAGTCCTTTCAATGATGTGGGGAGGTGATTTTGAGACCCCAACATCTGGTGCATTGGCCACAAACTTGAAAAAGAGACAAGGAATTGCATTTTGCCAAGCAAAATACACCTGAAGTATTTGGGTCAACCACTAAGACCAAGAGGTTTGGCTTTGATTTTTGGTGGTTCTTTATAAAGTGAGTCCATGTGTGTTTTCACGGTGGGGGTTTGTAAAGGATTTTCTGGCTTTATAGACAGCTTTTTATAGTGGGCCATTGACGTTTAACTGCTGCGGCTTGGGCAAGAAGCTTTGAACCTTAGCTTTGGTGGGGATCTAGAGCTTTTGATTAATTCTGGGAAAGTGGGTATTTCTCCAGATTGAAGGCCTCAAGAAACATAGGAGCTTGCTTGGGCCTCAGGGACAGCACAAGGCCCTCTGAACCTGACAAAAGCCCAAGAACCAGTGGCAGAGCATTGCCAACCAAATGATGCTTTGGTAACCTTGTCTATGCTTTTAAACTTGCCAGAATTATGGGAAGTTAGGCTGCTATAGAACTAAGACATTGTCTGAGGCCTGACAGAACCATGAAAATCCAATGGAAAGCAGCTGCCAAGGAACCCCAACTCCATCCAGGCACTGGGATGTCCTCTGAGTAAGGCAGGAGATAAACTTAGGACTTAAATTTCATTGAATTTTTAATTCATAAGAACAAGACAGATTGCTTTTTGGATGTTACCTTGCAGACTGATATAACTTTTTTTGATTTTGAAATCTTCCTTGGGAATATTATCGTTGAGAAATCTCAATAATGTCCTTCTATCATAAGAATGTCTTAATATTATTTAATCTCACCACAGGAAGGAGAAAGCTGCAATTTGTCTAAGACAGTTGCATTTTGTCTTACAACAATTGAAATTAATGTACTATTCTAGAACACTTCAGGACCTCTGGGCGGCACAGTTTATAAGCCCATTTTAAGGAGACACACCCCCCCCTCCCGGAGGGGATTGTTCTGGGGCAACTCATGCAGACAGACACAACTATATGGGCACGTGGCTGCTCTCCTCCTACCAGGGACAGTCATGCCTTCATGTGACTGAAGTGCTAAACCCAGTGGGAAATAAATAAGTGGTGGTGGGGACAGGGCAGGGTTTCTTTGCCATGGCTGACATTCCCTTTCACTCAAAAAAAAGAACTCATCAGTAGGTATAGAACTCTTTTTGATTTTCTGCCATATATTTCTTCAACCTAGGGAGGTGAAAGGACCTTCCTGTTTGCAGATTTGGGAAGGACAAGAGGGCACACTTGGTTGTACAACTCTCCTTCACAGGGTGGGCTGGGCTATTTGATTAGGTCTTCTTGGTGACCAGAGAGCACCTCGGGTCTAATGCTGGAGTTCAATATCAGGGAGCACACCTCCCCGTGGATATAAGCCAAATCTTGCCACGTACACTATGTCATTAATGAGGGCAATGGTTTGGTCCCATCTATCTTACTAACCTGACTTCTTTCTCAAATAGTTTAATGGTCACAAAGGAAGGGAAGAAGATGATATTTATTGGGTTCCCTCAGAGACCCCATCCCCGGTGCCCCCCCAAGAGGGGCCTTGGAGGCCCATGACATGGCATCTGTCCCCATTGTTCCTCTGTGAAGCACATCCCTAGCATGCCCTCAGCCTACCTCCAACCTGCTCCAATTCCTCCATCAGGTCCCCTGCTGCTCCGCCTCCTGCAGGGCACTCCCCAGCTGCCCCCTCTGCCAGCCCTGGTGTGCTGTCCTCCTCATTCTCACAGGCCTCCTTCTCCAGCTCAGGGGGGGTGCAATTCCTTGTCCACCAGGTCAGACGAACAAGCTGGAGGGAAAGGATATGCCATCAGGAGTCAGTGCCTTTGGAGGGAAGTCCAGCTGCAGAGAAAGAGGCCCCATTCATGGGAGGCCCTCAGAGGAACAAGGCCAGGACTGAGGGTCAGGAGCCTGGTTTAGCCCTGGCTGCCCCTTTAGGTCTGAGCACGCCCTCCAGCAGGTCTGTGCTGGGTGCAGGCAGACAGACCAGAATCAGACATGGACCTGGCCTCATGGAACTCAGGTTGGTCAGGGAGGCAGGAGCCTGATCATAAAAGGCTTCAAAGGTCAGGCTGAGGAGTTGATATTTAATAAACAACAGCCTCAGCTCCTTGTAGGCCATGTGAAAGTTCTGAGATTTTTAAAGATCTCTTGGAGTAAATTGAAGGGGTCTAACCTAGAAGCTGTTCCAAAAGTGAAACAAGAAATCTTGTTTTCCTGTGGTATTGGATAGGAGGCAGCGGTCCTAAGGGATGTGAGGGAGGTAAATTCTTCAGGATGTGGTGACCTATTGAAGGAGTCAGATGAGGGAGAGAGGAGGGAGCTGCCTTGAGCCTGTGGGTTCCTGCCTTGGATGATCAAATGGGTCTTATTCCTCCTCAGGGATGAAGGACACAGGACAGGATCAAATTTTCATGCTGGTGAGAGATGTGGTGGGGGGGAGAGAGAGAAAAGGGGAGTGCACACATGAATATGAAGCTGAGCTTGAAGAATAGGTAGAACTTCCAGGAGGAGAAGCTCAGTGAGGAGAAAAAACCCTTATGTCCCCCCGGATGGCCCTGGTGGTGTTCCTTTTTCTCCCTCTGCAGTGGCCCAGCAGACATGCACAGCGGGTTATCTGGCTGACACCAGTGGTGTTGGACCCCTACGTTCAGAACCACCTCCTTTCCAACCAGGCTCTTCCCCTGTGGGGAGCTCCGTTTGCTTGTTCAGCCATTGATTCCTGCTGTGCTCCCAGCTTCCTCCTTCCCCTACAGCACCAGGCCCCCAGGTGCCTCTCTATGGGCAGCTTCTTTGTCTACATCTCATAATAAATCTTCCTTACCCTGTGTGTCACTAGGAGCATGTAAATGAAGACACTTTATGTCACCAGGAACCAGTTGAGTGTGGGGGTTTGAACCTTGGGAGAAGGGTTTTGGCTTGGAGATAGAGAACTGAAATGTAGAAAGTGGTTGAATTCATAACACAGGGATATCACAGAGTGAAAATTCTATTGTAGGCCACAAAGGGGTTCTTAAGGAAAAATAATGGTTATGGGCAGAAAGAAAAGCCCATGAAGAAGTAGAAAAGTGATCAGAAGGGCGGGGATTAAAAAAAAAAAAAAAAAGGAAAAGAAAAACCAGGAGGAAAGAGAGGGAGGGAGAAGTACCTGTAGGATCCAGGGAGAGATTCTCAATGGGGAAGGACTTGAGCATGAACAGCACAAAGGCAAACAAAGGAGAAGACTCAGTGACAGGTGGCTTCTGGAGGGAGCTCAGGACGAGTCCATCTCTAAGGCTCATCTGTGAGAGTCCCGCTTGTTTGTAAGGCTCCTAGAAACCAACAGTGTGAAGTTGCCCTGCAAACTCTAAAGCGCCACACAGGCCTGGCGTACGGTGGCACATGTCTGTCATCTTAGTGACTCAGGGACTGAGGCAGGAGAAGCTCAAGTTTGAGGCCAGCTTCAGTAACTTAGGTCCTGAGCAACTTAGCAAGACCCTCGAAATAAGATTTAAAACTGACCTATGAGGTAGTGCAGGGGTAGACCACTCCTGGATTCAATTCCCCGTACCACCCCCACACAAATCAACGAATCACCTTACGTACGGGTGATTGTGTCAGTTGTGATTTCCACCCAGTGTCTCAGGTACCAAATTCTGGCATGGGCTCTGTCATTGGCTGAAAATTCCTATGTTAAAGTCTGAACCCCAGTATTTCGTAATCTGACCACTGCTAGCATAATTTATTAGTTTTTTATTGCTATGGCCAGTACCTAAAAACAAAAAAAGACAGTTTGGAGGAGGAAAGATTTATCTGGGCTCATTGTTTCAGAGGTTTCAATCCTTACTTGGTTGGATCCATGATACAACATCATGGCAGAAGTGTATCATGGAGGAAAGCTGCTCAGCTCACCGCAACGAGAAAGGAGAGAGGGACAGCAGGTGGGGGGAGGAGCCAGGGATAAGATATTGGCCCCAAGGGCATGGTCTCACGGACCTACTTCCTCCAACCGTGCCTCACCTGCCTACTGTTTCCACCACCTCCAATCAGCTGTCACTGGACTGATGCCCAGAGCCCTCATGATCCGATCACTTCCCACAAGCCCCACCTCTGAATACTGCTGCATCATCGGGAACCAAGCCTTCAACACATTATCTTTTTGGAAACACTTCAGATCCCAACCATAAAAACTGCACTTGGAGGTAGGGGCTTTAAAGAGGCAATTAAAGTAAAATGAGGTAATATGTGACTGGTGTTCTTAAAGAGGAGGTAAAGTCACAGACAGACTCAGGGATGACCACGTGAAGAAGGGAAAAGACGTCACCTACAAGCCATGAAGAGGAGTTGCAACTCTGCTGTCATCTTGGTCTCAGATTTCCAACCTACAGAACACTAGGAAAAATTCTGTTGTGTAAGTCACCCAGTCTGTGGTACTGGGGTCAATAGCCTTAGCAAACTAGCACAGACTCTAGGGGGAAAAGGCCCCAAAGACTGGTCATCCATGTTCCAGGACTGGCAAATCAGTCAGCTTGGAAGAGTTGAGGGTTTTGAGTTGAGTTCTTAATTGGAAAGTTCTCTCTGTTCTCATGGACTTGTTTGTTGACCATTCAAAAAACCTCTACTCCTTTCAGTCCAACTCACAGTGACGGTGTCAGTGCACCCTGCCCTGATCCTGGTGGAGGCTGCCTCCCCTTCTGTGTGTGGATCCTCTCATGGATTCTGGTCCTTCTGTGCTTTGTCTTTATATAGTAGCAGTTTGTGGTGGCATCTCTTCCTCTTGTGGACAATTGCTAGCAGGGAGCATTAATCTCTATAACCCCAGCACAGTGCCTGGCACATAGAATGTATTCACTGAGTAATTTTTGAATCGGACGAGTTACTTTTCTCTTGGAAATTCACAACCCTATGAGTTCCCCGCTCCCAAGGACATCTATATGGCAGCCGGGGAGACCATGACCTATCAGGGTGAAAACCAGCACATTCCAGGTGATAGGAAACAGGGAAGCATTTCGGGGGGGGGGCTCAGTATAAGCACAACACTTGCCTTTTCCTCAGGGATGGGGGTTGTACAGAGGCTGATGGTGACAATAACGATGGCAGTGAGTCCACAGAGAAGGAGGGCAAAGTACAGGTAGTGGAAGTCCTTCAGCACGGCTGGCCTCCTGTCCACCTCACCGCAGCCTGAGGCTGGATATGAGAACTCCAGGATCATGCGCAGAAGCCCCACTCCCAGGCCAAACATGAGGCCCCAGAAGGCTCCCTGTGGAGAGGGGACAGACAGGGGCAGGGGTGACATTGGAGAAACAAGAGAGGGGGACCTCGGAACCTAAAAGCTGCTGTGTTTCTAAATCTGTCTCCCACTGGCTTATTAGAGTGTTGGGCAAGTCCATCTCAGCGAGTTCCCCATTAATGCTGAGACTTTGTCCTGACTTAAAAGGCAGGCAGAGCAGTGTACGGAACAGGCTAGGGCCTTCAAAGCTGGACTACGATGTCAACTGGGGCTCCATGTTGAATGGCTCTGAACCAGTGCCTCCACCTTGCTGGCTTGGAGTGTTCCTCTGTGCTCTATGAAAAGAGAAATTGGTAGGTTCTGAGTAATAGATGGCCAGTCATCAAATAGAATAGGATGCGCTTTTGTAATAGGCCAGGAACACTAGTAACCCCTTCCCAACGGACAATATGACAAATCAGAAATCAGAAGAGAGATTTCCTCCCTCTTTCTCTCTCTCTCTTTTTTTTTTCCAAGAAAAACTCTGGTACCACTCATTTATTATAATTCCATTTGTCCTTAACCTGTACCTGTTCCAAGTATGAAAGAGTCAGATGATGTACGTTTTTAAAATGAGACATTAATCCTGACTTGAAAACTCTGGAATGAACAGACACACCCAGAATTTCAACTGGTCCCGCTGTGCACCAGGGTTGTCAGCAAGGTGAGACCTTTGCCGACAGCAGACGCCTTGTTTACACAGGTCACCTGGGGAGGGGTCTCTATGATCTCCTTCGCGGTGAACTTCAGCTCTCGCGTTGGTCTTGTGGAGTCATGTCCATGATGTCCCGTGGCACAGCCATCAGAGTTGGGCCTGACTCTTCTAGGGTACCCCAGGGAGTACTCAAAGTTCTAATTCCAATACCTCTGGCTTCCCTCAGCCACTGTCAGATTTTAGTGCAGTGACACATGTGATGTGCAGGCATGTCCAGAATGCTCATCCCCTCCCAGTCATCCTTCAGGTCTCAACTCTGTCACCTCCTCCAGGAAGTCTTCCCTACCCTCCTCCCAGGAGTCCCATTGGTTAAGAGCTTGTGCACTTCTGTCTCCCAGTAGTCATTGTGCTTTATTATGTTTGCTTATGTACATCCTACAGCTGGCCTCCTGTCCACCTTGAGTTGAGTTCTTAATTGGAAAGTTCTCTCTGTTCTCATGTACTTGTTTGTTGACCATTCAAAAAATCTCTACTCCTTTCAGTCCAACTCACAGTGACGGTGTCAGTGCACCCTGCCCTGATCCTGGTGGAGGCTGCCTCCCCTTCTGTGTGTGGATCCTCCCATGGATTCTGGTCCTTCTGTGCTTTGTCTTTATATAGTAGTAGTTTGTGGTGGCATCTCTTCCTCTTATGGACATTAATCTCTATAACCTCTGTGAATTGGCCCCGTGGGGACAGACCTCTGTGAACCTTGTAAACCACGACATCTCTGGAACTGTCATAACCAGCTTGATAACTGTGGAGTGGACAAATGAATCTAGACCTGGAGCTATGTCCAGAGACATGGAAACCTAGAAGGCCCATGTGTTTGTCCAAGGTCCCAAAAACCAGCAGATTGACAGACAGGACTCTAGACCCTCTGCTGTACAGGAAGAGAGAGGAGGACTGCACTCACAGGCTCTGTGACCCTCTTGCAGAAGATGGCCAGCAGGAAGAGAGCAGTGATGGGTGGAGCCAGGTAGCTGGTGACAGCCTGGATATAGTCAAAGAGCTGCCCACTGTTGGAGCTCTGGATGATGGGGATCCAGAGGATGCTGATGACAACCAGGAACACCACAAACAGCCTGCAGGGAGAGCACAGGGTGCTGTGAGGCACACTCGGGTGGGCGTGACCTGCAGCAGGTGAAGGTGATGCACAGACACCAGGACGGGAGAAGAGAGGGGATCAGAGGAGGTTAGGTCAGGATCTCAAATACTAAGTCGCAGGAATTTAGACTGAAAATTCCTTAAATCAGAGTTTCAGAAACCAAGAGACTCAGATTTGTAAAATCTCAGCACTTACATATTGGATGTCTTTTAGTTTTAAATTTATTTTTGACACTTGGGATTGAACCCTGGGGCACTTTACCACTAAGGTGTATCCCCAACCATTTTTGTTTTGAGACATGGTCTCGCTAAGTTGCTGAGGCTGAGCTTGAACTTGCAATCCTCCTCCCTCAGCCTCCTGAGTCATTAGGACTATAGGCATGTGCCATTGGTGCCTGGCTTGATGCCTTTTAGGTCATGTCATTCACCCACTGTTTAAGGAATACTTCATGCCTTCTACCCACCACCTACCCCAGTCAAAGGCCTCTGGGCTCTGTTTAGCACACCTTTCCTGCTCTTTGCATTCCAGCCCCTGTGCAGAATAGCTCCCTTCTCCAGGATGACTTCAGCCTCCAAGAACTTCTCCCTTCTTCAGACTTCTTCAACTCTAACCTCACTCTCTCCTTTACATTGGCACTAAGATTAAGGCAAGAACTCCACCTTTTTCTTTTTCTCCTGACTCCCCCTTGATTAATTCTCACTCAGTCCTAAGTCCCCAAAGCATTCTTTTTTTGTGGAGGGCAGTACCAGGATTGAACTCAGGGACAGTCAACCACTGAGCCACATCCCCAGCCCTATTTTGTATTTTATTTAGAGACAGGGTCTCACTGAGTTGCTTAGCACCTCGCTTTTGCTGAGGCTGGCTTTGAACTCTTGACCCTCCTGCCTCAGCCTCCTGATAAGCTGGGATTACAGGAGTGTGCCACTGTGCTTGGCCCCAAAGCATTCTTGATGAATAATTTTGTAGATGTGCAAACAAGTTGAAAAAACATTTTTTTTTTTTGGATGTACTGGATGCAATAATACATATGACCAGGAGATGGTGCCCACATTCCACTGATGAATTAAATAAATTTCAGCAAAACTAGGCAGTTGGTGGGCAAAAGATAAAGGGACACTTGTGGAAGGTCTCTGAGCACATATGGTCCTCTTTCCTTTTCCTCCCATTTTCCCTCTCCCAGGCTGCACTAAAGTAATGGCTACCAGAGTGGTCTCCCTGTTGCTTATGCCCTTCCTCTGCCCTACCCTCAGATCCGGCAATGATTACTTCCTGTGCTAGGGCCAGAACTCCATTGGGCAGAAGGCATCCAGGTGGAAAGAACAGGGAGTCAAAGGCAGGAGCAAGATGTCGAAGCTCAAGTACCTATGTGCCTACCCACCAAAGAGGGGATCACCCTTTACTCCAGAAGTCCTGGTTGGGGAACCTTAAATTTTGAAGCAGAGATTTCAAAAAAGGACCCTTAACCTTATACAAACTATAAATCCCCATCCTATTAAGAACTAGACAAAATCATCCATCAAATTATGCCTTTAAAAGCACAAACTGATTCCAACAAGATAAATTCAAATTCTCTAGCATGCTATTCAAGGCTCTGCATCACGTGAAGACAGCTTTCCTATGAACAACTTTCCCTTGATGCAGGTATCTCACTCTGTTATCTGTGTTTCTGTCCTTCTCATTAAACTGTGGGCACCCTGAAGCCAGGGCCACATGACTCATCCTAGTGTGGGTACGACACCTGGCGGTGTTCAGGGTGAGACTGATGATTAGATTCACAGCCAGTTACCTGGAGATGAGAGCCAGAGTTGGTCTGAAAGACCCCAGAGGGTGAGCTGCTTGCTGAACTTCCTCCCACTTACACAGTTTGCTTTTCCTTTCGCAAGTGCTCTGTCATCCTCTCTCAATTACCCTGTTGATCCATTCCAAGAGAAAGTCTAAATGCAAAAGTCTCCATTATTCTGGAAGGGGAGGAGTGGTCCAGAGATGGAGGGGGACTTACCTGAGGTCCCATGAAAAGTCAGCCCTAGAACCTAGTGCTCTGGCCGCCTGTCCAGGGCCCAGACCCAGACAATCTCCTACAGAAAGGAGGTGCTCTGGGAGGATGGAAGGAAGGACCCGCGCACCTGCCCACCACCATCAGCTCCTGCTCGGTTGCCTTCCTACGGAAGCGCTGCCACACATCAATGGTGAACAGGGTGCTGCTGCTGTTGAAGATGGAGGTGAGGGAACTCATGAGGGCCGCCATGATCACGGCAATCATCAGGCCCCGCAGACCTGCGGAGAGATGAGTGGGAGTGGATAGCTGGCCGGTAAGGGCTCTGTGGATCATGGAGACTGCAGCAGTGTCAGAGCCAGGAGTCTGGGGTGGGGATGTGATAGGAAAGCCATTGGTGATGTTCCCATCTAGCACAGATATGGAATCAGGAAGCCCATGATGCCAGAGTCCCGGTTCTGGCCAGGCTCCGCTTCTGCAGGAGACTCATCTGCCCTCCCTGAGCCTTGGTCTCCTTATAAGGTGTGTGTAAGACTTGATCTTTAAGGTTCTCTGTAGCTTCGATGTCTCAGTCTGGGTTTCACAGCTGTAAACAGCTATCGGGTTCCTGTGAGTGGGGGCGGGGAAGGTGAATGTTTATAGTGTTTTTACTTTTTTTAAAAAAGTGTTTTCTATGACATATTGTGGTGGTGGGCTAACTCCCAGCCTGGGAAGTAGAAGCCTGGGTTTGTTTCCTGACTCCACAAGTAACCAACTAAATGGATGCTCTTTGGACTACTCCCTCACTCTTTGGGGGACCTTTACTTTTTTTTTCTCCACTTGAACAAAGAGAGGGTCACCTACTGACCCTCTGATAAGCTTCTGGACTGCTTATCTCTTGAGGAAATGAATTCCCAGCCCTGGTCCCACCTCAGGACTCTTTACACCAAAGTCCATGTATTTAATCACGTTCTGTAAGACTCACAGGTGACTTTGACTCAAGGTTCCAAACTCTGGGCCTCTGCTCTCCTCTTGGGCAGTAAGAGTTCTCCCACGAGACACCTCTGCTCTGTTTGCCCCTCTCCATCCATCAGTCCCTCCTTGGCTGCTGACCTAGCTGGGCCTCCTACCACCTCCGCTGTTTCTTTACTTCTCATTTTACCAGAGGGAGGGAATAACTACACATCGATTGCCTTCCAGGTCGCACTGTCATTATTAATCCACTTTCTAAAGACCAAGACCTGAGAGGCCTCTTTGATTCCTGTCTTTCTTGTTCCTGAAATACATCAAGTCCTACTGATTCTACCTCACCATGTCTTTAAATGGCTTCTCTCTATCTCCAAAACCTCTGCTTTGGTTAAGTGATTGGTGCTACTTACCTGGATCACTGAAGACACCTCACTGACATCTCCCTGCCTCCCCAGAGCCTTTCTCCATACTGAATCCTCCACAGAGAGTGGACCTTCTAAAGCACAAATCCAGCCATTCATACTCTGGTCTACAGTCCCCTCTGCTGCCTTCAGAGAAAAGCACAGGCTGCAGAGCCCACCTGGCCATGACATTTCTCCCTGGCGAGTCCACGCTGGGCTCCTTTTGGTTCAGACCACACTCTCTCTCCTCCCGCTGGGCATTTGCACGAGCAATCTCTTCTCCCTACAACATTTGTCACATCTCCCCACCTTTGCCTGAGGTAGTCCTTGGAGTTCAACTCCATTTTCTTCCCCGGAGAGTCCTTCCTGACACTCCTCCAAGGCTGGGTCTATGACTCTTTAGGGTTCCCTTTGTCCCACTGGGTTGCCACACTGGTGACCTTGCACTGTACCCTGGTAAGTCCAAGTAACCTGGAGACTGCATAAAGCCTGAGAGCAGAGACCTGCCTTTCTTTTATCTCTGCATTCCAACACCAGGGCACAGGGCAGGTGTGTTACAGATATTTGTGGGAGTGTGTGTGTGTGTGTGTGTGTGTGTGTGTGTGTGTGTG